TCAAAGCAATTCCACTAAAATCAGAATCAAGACAAGGCTGTCCACTCTCTCCATATCTCTTCAACACAGTTCTTTAAGTTTTAGCAATAGCAATAAGACAACATAAGGAGATCAAGGGGATTCAGACTGGAAAAGAAGTCAAACTTTCGTTATTTATAGATTATATGATACTGTACATAAATGACCCCAAAATCTCTACCAGAGAACTCTTACAGCTGATAAATACTGTCAGGGATGTGACAGGATACAAGATCAACTCAAAAAAATTAATAGCCTTCCTATATACAAAGGATAAAGAAGTTGAGAGGGAAATCAGAGAATCATCACCACCAAAGTGAAAGATCTATTTGACAAGAACTTTAAGTCTTTGAAGAAATAAAATGAAGAAGATACTAGAAAATGAGAAGATCTCCCATGGTCTTGGACAGGAAGGATCAACATAGTAAAAATGGCAATTCTACCAAAAGCAATCTATAGATTCAATGCAATCCCTATCAAAATCCCAACACAATTTTTCACAGACCTTGAAAGAACAATAATCAACTTCATATGAAAAAACAGAAAACTCAGGATAGCCAAAACAATCCTATACAATAAAGGAACTTCCGGAGGCATTACCATCCCTGACATCAAACTTTATTACAAAGCTATAGTAATGAAAACAGTTTGGTATTGGCATAAAAACAGAGATATTGAAAATGGAATTGAAGACCCAGATATTAATTCACATACATTATAACACCTGATTTTTGATAAAGAAGCTAAAATTATACAATGGAAAAAAGAAAGCATCTTCAACAAATCGTGCTGGCATAACTGGATGTCAACCTGTAGAAGAATGAGAATAGATCCTTATCTATTGCCATGCACAAAAAATTCAAGTCCAAATGTATTAAAGACCTCAATATAAACCTGACCACACTGACCCTGACAGAAGAGAAAGTGGGAAGTAGTCTTCAATGCATGGGCACAGGAGACCACTTCCTAAATATAACCCCAGTAGCACAAACAATAAGAGCAACAATAAATAAATGGGACCTCCTGAAACTGACAAGCTTCTATAAAGCCAATGACACAGTCAATAAGACCAAAAGGCAGCCTAATGAATGGGAAAGTATCTTCACCAACCCCACATCAGACAATGGACTGATCTCCAAAATATATAAAGAACTCAAGAAATTAGACATTAGAATTCTAAATAACCCAATGAAAAAAAAATGGTGTACTGAACTAAACAGAGAATTCTCAACAGAAGAATTTCAAATGGCCAAAAGATACTAAAGGAAATGTTCAACTTCCTTAGCTATCAGGGAAATGCAAATCAAAACAACTCTAAGATACCATCTTACACCTGTCAGAATGGCTAAGATCAAAAACACTAATGATAGTTTATGCTGGGGAGGATGTGGAGTAAGGGGAACACTCATCCATTGTTGGTGGGAATGCAAACTTGTGCAGTCACTTTGGAAATCAGCGGGGTGGTTTCTCAGAAAATTGGGAATCAACCTACCTCAGGATCCAGCAATACCATTTTTGGGAATATGTCCAAAAGATGCCCAATCATACTATAAATGCATTTATTTAACTATGTTCATAGCAGCATTATTTGTAATAGCCAGAACCTAGAAACAACCGAGATGCCCCTCAATGGAAGAATGGATAAAATGTGGCACATCTACACAGAATACACATTACTACTCAGTGGTAAAAAACAATGACATCTTGAATTTTTGCATGCAAATAGGTGGAGTTAGAAAACACTATCCTGAGTGATGTAACCTAGACCCAAAAAAATGAATATATGTTCTCACTCATAAGTGGATATTAGCCATAAACAAAGGACATTGAGCCTATAATTCATGATCCTAGAGAAGCTAAGTAATAAGGTGAACCCAAAGGAAAATATATATAGACCTGCCTGGAAATTGGAAAAAGACAAGATCGCCTGAAAAAATTTGGGAGCATGGGGGCGGGGAGTAGAAGGAGGGGGAGAAGGGGAGAGTTGAGAACTTGAGGGAATGGGATAGTTGAGATGGAGGAAGGACAGATATGAGAACAAGGAAAGAGATAAATTGATTGAGGGAGCCATTATGGGGTTGGCAAGAAACATGGCTCTGGAAAAATTCCCAGGAATCCACGAGGATGACCCCAGCTAAGACCCTAAGCAATAGAGGAGAGGGTGCCTGAACTGGCCTTGCCCTGTAGTCAGACTGATGATTATCTTAAATATCACCATAGAACCTTCATCCAACAATAGATAGAAACAGAGGCAGAGACCCACATTGGAACAAGCACTGGACTGAGCTCCCAAGGTCCAGTTGAAGAGTGGAAGGAGGAAGAGTATGAGCAAGGAAGTCAACACCATGAGGGGTTCATCCACTGAGACAGTTTGCCTGAGCTAATGGGAGCTCACCAACTCCAACAGGACTGGGAGTGAATGAGCATAGGATCAACCTAGTCTCTCTGAATGTGGTTGACAGTTGGGGCCGACTGAGGGGCCACTGATAGTGGCACTGGGATTTGTCTCACAGCATGTACTGGCTTTTTGGGATCCTATTCTTTTTGGATGTGTACCTTGCTCAACCTAGATGTAGCAGGGAGGGCCTTGGACTTTCAAAAGGGCAGGGTGCCTTGCCCTCTCTTACGATTGGAAGGAAGTAGGGTGGGAGGGTACATGGAGGGAGTGGGAATTTGGAATGGTATTTTTTTTTAATAACATAAAATAATAAAAAAGAAAAGAAATAAACATTAGATGACAACTTTTACAATGCATAATTCCCTAAATACGTTTACTATGTAAAATATGTTAGTGCAAAATTACTGACACAAAGCAGGGTTCCTTTCACATTGGCTTATTTATTTTCACAATGCCACAAAGAAGTTCCAAATCTTTACAATTCTTTACCTGCTTCTCATTTTTTTTAAAAAAAGAAAAGCCCTAGAATATCAAATCATGTTTAAAAAAACTTTAACTGAATTATTTTTTAAGTTATGACAATGATAGAATATGCCAGTCAATCAAAATTCCAAACTAATAGACCTCTAAAGTAAGACTGGGCATCACTGATCTCACCACTTTCCCAGCTGTGCAGGCTGAGCACCTGTCACTAATGCCAGCGCCATCACCAATGCCACTCACGCTCACAAGCGTGTGTTCCTGTACATCTTACACGCTGAGGTTCAAGTTTAAAACCAGGTTTCACCAGCTTTGTAGCAAACGCATAAACCATTCACAATGGCAAGTGTGCTGAAAACTCCAGTGCAACCCGCCAGCCCGGTGCCACGTCCACAGTCTTCCAGCTCTAGAGCACAGACATTCTGTATCACACGGCTGCACCAATTTTTAAGCAACTAATACATTTTGAATTGTTAGTAATATTATAATGTTATAAATAGTTTTCTTTCTCCTTTTCCTTATAATTTTTATATTCATGCATCTCATTTATTTGTTTAGTCGACTACTAAATTCTGGATGTAAGCATAAAATAAAACAGAGATGAGTGTGGATAAAACAGCTGAATTTTACTAGATGTCCAAGACAGTTAAAGCCATTACTAGGAGACAAATTCAATCTAAGGCAAACATGGAGAAAGTTGGATCTGACTTTAGGTTCTTCATAGTTTGACCTGTCAAGTACATGTGAACACCCATGGCCCAAATTCTGAATGTCTATGTGCCATAAAGCTAACTGTCATAAATGGAATGTCCATTACTTAAAGAAAGGCCCCTCTTATGCTAAACTTTACAAGATGTGTAGTCTGGAGTGATAGGCAATCATACTAACAAGGTTAAGACCTAGTCAAAAATATATATATTTACACATAAATAATAACCTCTAAGGAACTTGAGTTTAAATGACAACATCTATCACCAGAGGAACCTGGGCTAGCAGTGCTGCAACCCTAATCAAAGGGTAACACTGCATCAGTTTTCTTCAGTTCATCACTAGACTACCTGCCTGTTAGCTGAAGATCGCAGGAGATTCCACTCAGGCGTCACACAGAGGCCCTGCCCGAGCGCCCTCCAGGATGTCCAGTGGTCAAGCTGCTCGTCACACCCAGGAGTTAGGTGGCACCAACCCCCCCCCAAAATTAAGCTCTTTAATTTCCACTCACAAATCCAGGGCTCTTCCACTTCATCCCTGTCTGTTACCATGGCCGCAATGTAACTGCTATTCAGTTTCTATTTCTGCTAAATCATTCTTATTATCAACCCTAAGTTTCTTTTAAAACTCTGGAACAATATGAAAACATTAAAAATATTTTTAATTTTGTCTTTCAAATACAATAAAATTTTGATATATGATGTTAAGGTGATTCAATTACTAGACAAATGATCTCTGTTTACATAATACATACTTTGTAAAGAGGTTTCACTGAATTTTTCTTTAGTGAGGTGAGTTTCAACTGTCCTAAACAGTAAATTAGCTCATTACTTGTGTGTGAATCTGAAGTATGTCCTTTATGAGAATGTATGTAAGCCAAACACAAAACATTAGGCAGATGGTATTAAAAATAATGCTAACAGGTATACTGAGTAACAAACTTTTGTTTAATTTACATCTGCTCAGATTTTTAGTTTAGTATAAAGGCCCATTAATCAATTCATTAGATTGATCAAGGCAAGACATCTGAACTACACAATGGGATTTTAAAAGCAGTTGGTTTTGTTGTTCCTGATAATTATTCTCTCATACACACACACCACATCCCACACACAAACACTAGAGTGCACATGTGCGCATGCACACACACAGGTACACATACGGCAGAGCACTCTGGATATTGGATTTCCTCCCATCATCCTGTACAATTTACTGCTCACAATCTGCAGTGTTTTGAAAACTATATATTAAGCATGACCAAATTAGAGCTATCTGATAAACTTTTATAAATTAGTTGGGAACTTCAGATGTTTCCAAGAAAACTGACGTTAAAACTATAAAAAAAAGAAAATTCATATAAAAACACAACAAGTTTAACACACATCTTGAAAAAAACTCAAGTTGTAACTCAACTGTGTATTTTCTCAAACATGACCAAGAAAAGAGTTACAAGTAGTAATGCCACGTAAGAAGAACAAACAGTTAACGGTGGGCTCGGGAAAGCTACACAGCGTCATTGCACTCCACGGTGTGCACAATTCAACATGTGCCAGCAATGGAAAAACTGTCTTGCACTGAGGTTTTCCAAGAGGTACAACGAGCCTGCCAAGAAACATCTGGTCTGTACTAACAGCTTGCTGTCTTCAGTACAGGCCTTCATAATGTCAGTCACGCTGCTCTTGCAAATCCCTTAGTGTCTGAAACAAAGAGAAAAGAAGAAGATCACTGTATTTTATTGTCACTGTTGTACCAACTCCTGGGAAGCTAACCCGCCGAGGGGACAGAAAATGACACTACTTAGCAAGGGCTAACCAAGCCTCTTCACATTTACACATCTGCTCATAAATTTTCTATCTCAAGTATGTTAAAAATAATCTGCGTTTAGGAACTAATTATTTGAAAGTAAGAAGCTATGCATCTATAAACTATAATAAAACATCAATTCTGGCTACAAGGAGTTCAGAGTTTGAAAGACATGTACCTGTCTCACCGTCAGTGGGAAACTGAAGAGATAGTGTATGTGGCATCTACTAGCATTTGTGGTCAGAGTTAAAGGAAAGCTACAAATAGCTACTATATTTTAAAACTACTTACAAAATAGTTTTCAGTGCTGATAGGTAGGGCTATGATCGATGATGTGGTATTGAATCCATGTGCACATTGAGTTTCATTTCATTGTCAAGAATTTGGACAAGTTGTTGCATGGATGGAAGATGACCAGATTCCAGCTTAGACCATACCGGCACATCTACAAAAACAAACAGCCAGCACCCCACCCCACAAACACATTAATGTAATCCCATGATAGACATCGACCCCACAAATACTTATTGACTTTCGTTCACAATTAGGGGCTACAAAAGCGCAATGCTTCTTCCCTTTCGGCGGCTTTCACGGCAGCAAAGGAACCACTGGGCATCCCAGACATCACCACAGAATCATACGCACGCTGGCTGACTGAAACCAGACGCTGCACTGCCATGAGGAGCGCAATCACCACCCTTTCCTGACTGCCAGGGAAGCACAGCAGGCAAAGTAGGCCTAAAAAGGTAACGCTAAGCCACTAAGGTAGAGTAAAGGCTCATGGCAGTAGAAGACTGCAGAGGTAAGAAGCAGTATGAAGGCTAAAAAGGAGAGCGGGCCCGCACAGGCCGCTGTCATAAGGAAGTATTGCAAGGGAAACGGAGAGGCAGAGAAATTTACATTGGGGAACAAACTGCAGTAAACTAGAGTTAAACATTTTGTCTAGGGAAGAGTATCTTATCTGTCACAGTCATTCAGCTCACACAGCAACTTGAAGCAAGAATGGGAACACACTTTAAAACTGGGCATAGCTGTGTTCAAAGGAAATCATCGGACAGGCAATAGGATATGAGACACAGGACCATAGTCGGCTGACCCCTAAATTAGATTTTATAGGACTTCTGCTCATACTGAATATACTGGCATTTATCTTGAAAAAGAACTTAAGGAGTTTTAGACACTTGGGGGACACAAGGAAATCTTCATTAAGAAAGTCACTGGAAAAAAAAAGCAAACAAAAGAACCCAAGCTGGACAGTGGTAGTGTATGCCTTTAAACCAGCACTCAAGAGACTGAGGCAGGCAGATCTCTGTTGAGTTCGAGGTCAGCCTAAGCTAGAGAGCAAGTTCAGGACAGTCAGGACTGTTACATAGTTTGTATCTTAAAAAACAAAACAAAAAAAGAAAAGAAAAAATCATCGTTAAAGGTATATTCACCAACAGGGGAGTCTTGTAACAGACTAGGATGCTAGCAGGGAGAATTAGCAGATGTGGATTTGTAAGAAATGTGGGAGACAGAATTGAGAGGTCCTGGTGGAGGGAGTAATGGGAAGTTACCCTAGGTTTCCAGGCAAATTAGCAGAAAAAATGACGGAACAATTAAATGAACAAAAAATCCCAGAGGAGAACAGAAGCACACATAGGATCCAGAGGGGCAGCTAAGAGCTTATTTTGAAGCAGTTTATGTTAACGATTCCCAAGTAAAGCACTCAAAACAGATCGGCAGTGCCCTAAAACTATGCACTCAGGAACCACACCCATTTTATTTTAAAGCCTGGAGTAAACACATGGGAGTCAAATCATCTAGAATTTCTAGAACCTCAGGTAGCAACTAAGATTCTTCTAAAAAAAAAAAAGTCTTCTGAATTTTCAGTCTCTATCATATAAACTCACTTATATGAACATTAAAAGCCTGTTTGTTATTAAGCACGTGCTCATCACAAATGCACACCACTCAGAACCTACCATTTAACGTGATCTCAAATGCACCTGTCGACATACACTGGTTCTCAATCATGTTGCTCAAGAAGAAAACCATCATACATGCATAAACCTAGAAGCCAAACAGCACAAAATGTAAGACACCTTCATTTGATAGAAAGTTTCAGTCTTAATTTGATAGCACTTTCTTTTAATATAACTTAAAAGTGTCCACACAAAATGTCATCTCACAAATCATCTACATACCAGGAAAAACTCACAACTCTTTACATGTTAAAGACCATACAGACAGCATTCATATTACAGAATTTCTAAAATGTCTCAATAACTGAATTTAAATAAAAAATACCAAATTTAGAATGGTTCATTTTACCAATTTTATGATGTAAAATGCCTCACAAGAGAATAGTGATGCAACCACCAGCAACTTTACATATATTACATACAACCTACTTAAATTTAAAAAAAAAAAAAACTTAAAATCATCTGTAGGCTTAGAATGCCCTAGCACACAGAATAAAATGTAATATGTCTCACTTCGTAAGAAAATAGTGATGCAATCATCAACAATTTTATATTACATACAACCTACTTAAGCTTAAAAAAAATTATTTTAAAACCATCTGTAGGTTTAGACTGCCTTAGCACATAGCAGTCCATGCATTCACCCTTCAAAGGCAAATCTGCCCTTTTCAAAAAGAGAGTAGAAGCGCTTTAACTTAGTAAAATTACTGGACGAAAAGCTGGGTATGGTGAAGACATAAACTCATAACACACTGTTTCAGAAAGTCAATGCCCATAAGGGCAAGAAAGTTTGCCTGCCTACTCTCTTTGAGCCAGGTGGTGTTTGACAGGTTTTATAGGAACACAGTAAGCGTTGTCACAAAATCTGTATCTTTATCTCTTGGCTTTTCCATGATCAACCATGAATAGCAACTATACCTTTGTGCTATCCATATGTGAACACAGCACAGAACACGTAAGACTGAACTGCAAACCCATGTCTAGTGAACAAGGGGACAGAGATGTATCTCTCCTAGAGACAGCTAAGGATGTTTATGTTAACAAATGCCTGTTCTAGAAGAACCAGCAAACAGGAGTCTGCTAAAGGTGCTGAGGCTAGAACTAAAGGGCAAAGCTAGATCACTCCCCAGAGAACTTCGCTTCATAAGGGAAGCAGCTAAAACAATCCCGTTAGAGAGAAATAGAATGAAATCCATTTCCAATGATGGTGGGTAACTCAGGAAAAAAAAAAAGATTTTAAGTAAAAAGATTTAAAAATATGAGTAATTGGCAGAAAGTCACAGGGCGCAGCCATGCAGCAATAGCTTGCCCACTTGGCTGAATAACTAAGAAAAGCCCAACATTGAGAAAGACCAACTTCTCCTTTCTCTATCCTAAGCATGCTTCCCTAAACACTCTGGACTTCCCCCTGTGTCTGGGCTTCCTAGCTCTTTCTCTACAGTGACCCTCTGTACCATAAAGCTGCCCACCAACCATGGCTCTGACGCCACACCAGCTTAAATGTCATGGCTTTTCCTTCTCTCCTCCAGGCAGCTGCTAAGGTTTCACAGTGTCTTTCTCTTTTGAATGCTAATAAAATTGCCTCTGTTCTTTAAACACACACACACACACACACACACACACACACACACACACGCACACACGCACGCACGCACACGCACACACTCACACACAGGGTCACCACAACCCAAAGGCCCAGCCACCAAAGCCACATACCTTATTTTCTTGGCCCCACTGCCAGATGCTAGGAGCTTGCATGCCGAAAAAAGCAAAAGGATCTTTGCCAACAATTATTAAGCCTATTAATACTAGTTTGAAGACTGACAGGAAAGATGCTATATGTCTATCAAAAGAAAAGAAAAAAGTTAATCAGAAACTACAATTTCTTTTATCTATTCTGGAATTTAATAATCAAACTTTATGTGAAGATATTTTCTGGATATAAAATCCAAGTTATTAATTGCATTAAATTTAGTATCATTGGTTTTCTAGGAAATCTGGGGGACCTGAGGTAGCTCAGAGGTAAAAAGCATACTCAGAAGGTGCTACAGCCTGAACTCAATCTCAGCCTAACTTTCCAATATGAACTATGCAAGGAGACACCTCTTTAAACGCCCTTATCCCATTGCTATTCACAAAACAGAGCTTTCTGTTTATTACTATAAGAAACGAAGAAGTTACACGACCCAGCGAGGCGAATGAGACATTTACAAACTGTGTAAGCTGAAGGGCTGTACTCAAGCCACTGAAATTCACTCACCTATAAATTGGTTGAGGGAGGTAATTCTCTCCTTCGATGCGGATGTCTGGGTACCGCTGGCTAATAACCCGCATGTATTCCTCAAACACCCGCCTGTACCCTCAGGATACACTGCCAAAAAAGAAATGTTTCCATTTAGTATTTTGAGTGCATCTAAAGTCAAAGAAAGTGTAAATATTATCAAATTAAATTTTTTTTAGAATCCATCACAATTAATGACTGACCCTGGACAATAAACACAGGGAAGTTTTTTCCATCTTATAAATCTTGTGTATTTCTGTTCCCAGCAGATTAACCAGCCAGTCATCACACTACAATAGTTTTGGGTTAGACAACAGCAAACACCAATCCACACATGTCTGCACATCACTCTCCCATCAACTGACCCTTTGTAGAGTATAAAATGTGTTGACGGAAATGCAAGTCGCGGAAACCCTTCCCACTGCTCACTGCCTGTGCAGAGCCCTGGAAGTGAGCACGTTTGAAAAGCTCTGAAACCAGGTCTGGGCCCAAGGACTACAGCAGGCCTGTAGGAGACCAAACAGGGAAACCGAGGACCCGAGAAGGCTTCCTTCACAGTTTTTCTGACTTACATCTGTATATCCCCCAATAAAATGTGCATATTTCTCTTCTCAGTCCTACTGAAAAATTTTAACTGTACTTCCCTCAAAGATTCTTGTATTAAAGGTTATTTAATAGAGAATAACTTTAAAAAACGTACATTTATTTCTAGACAAATTCCAAGCTATCTTATAGTAGGCGTTCATTTCTGGAACATGAGCAATGGTAGCCAGGGGTTGTGTCCTGTAAATAGAATCTGAACCCTCTGCCATTTGAACTATGAAAACAGGAATGGAGGGAGTAGAAGAAAAAAGGGTGGGGAGAAGTCAGTTTGGTTTTGTTTGTTTTTTGGGTTTTGTTTTTTTTTTTCCTTTTTGGCTTTTCTTGTAACTGCGAAGGCCTGAGACTTTGGTCATCCCCCTTCCCTTCCTTCTTTTTTATCCTCCCTGGGTGCTAGGATCAATCCTTGCTTCTGATAGGAAAGCACCCAAACTGAGCCATATCCTGTAGCCTGCCCAAGTTTTAATCTTAATTCAGAGGCAGTGAGAGGTTAAGCTACTTGAAAAGGTGTGACCTTACTGCAAATAGATATCTGGTTACAATTAGCAGATATAGCAGAGAAAAGAAAAGTGAAACCCAGTTGGGCAACTATGATAGTTTGCATGTAATTGGCTTCCATAAGCTCATAGGAAGAGGCACTATTAGGCTTTGTATTAAATAGGTATGGTCTTGTTGGAGAAAGTGTGTTACTTGGAGGCGGGCTTTGAGGTTTCCTATGCTCAAGATCCTGCCCAGTGTCTGAGACCAGTTCCAGTTGCCTTCTGATCAACATGTAGCCAGCACCATCACCATGTCTGCCTGCATGTCATCATGTTCCCTGCCAGGATGATAATGGACTGAACCTCTGAAACTAAGCAAGCCACCCCTATTAAATGTTTTCCTTATAATAGTTGCTGTGGTCATGATGTCTTCACAGCAACAGAAACCTGAACTAAGGCAGCAACTAAACTGGTAGAGTTGAAAAAGCGCTAAGCCTTTTTGACATAGCATGGGAAAGACTTTTCTAGAATTCCTAAGTTTCCAGTTCCATGGTGTGCATGAATTCTCCCCAAATATACTGTCACTGAAGACTAGAGCCATCCCTCACTGTTCTTTGCAGTGCCCGGAGCCTGGTGCACAATGAAGTAACATTTCATGAGTGTTAATATAGGTCTGACTTATCTAAAGAACCATGAAAGTGAGAATCAGTTTTAACATGCTTGTAGATAGAAGTATTTAGTCTATATATAACGAAAATGTTAGCGAAACCTTTCAAGTCTGCTTATTCTCCAACTGGATCCTTCTTAATCCTAAATTCTAGTCTGTCCTAAAGCGCTCTACAAACGCACGTTTGTCATTTCCGCCTGTTTTCAGGTAAGAAACCTTTAATTCGCTCAGCTGTGTTCCCCAGCCATCACCTACCACACACACAACCCTCTTCTCATACAAATCCGTGCTAGTCCAACCATCCCCAGCCAACTGTGAACTCTTCTGCTTACTCCATCTGGCTCGGGCTAAGTTCCCACAGGTGGCTGAACTGTGAAGACTGCGGTCTAATCTGAGCCTTCCGAGCACTGCCAGCGGGAGGCACAGCTCACCCGTGCTCCTTCTCACGCCTTCTCCTCCCATCCCACACACACGGCTCCTAGGAGTCTCCAGCACACAGACAGCTGACTCCAGTCATGTGTGCTTTGTACTGTTAGCAGTCTACTTTATACAGAGTATATAACAGTTCCCGTCAGCTCACTGTTTTCTACATAAATGAGTTTTCTGAATTGGATATTCCAAAGGGAAGTACAGGGCCTGTGGTGAATCAAGAAACAAAACGATCTGGTCAGGATGACTCAGCAAGCAAAGGTGCCCATGTGAGAGTGAACATGTGAACACACATACAATTTTTTAAAAATGTTTTAAGCTAAAACCACACTAGGGCAAATGCAGAATTGATCAAAAATAGCTTTTTAACCACAAGCAAGACAAGAAGATGGGCAAATACAGTTACCACTCTCAATCCTTATGCTCCTTGACTTCCCATGAAAACTGATTTAAGCAGGTCCACAGCCTGTTAAGTTTTTCCTCCCATTTTAGACCCGAGCCGACTCAGAAAAGGTGGGTTGACTTGCTCACAGTCCTAAGACTAATAGAGGACAGAACCAGATAGGAAACCAAATTATGTGGGCCATCAACAAACATATCTGACTCCACAGTCAATTTTATCGTCCTCAAAGGACAATAAAGTAAGGATTTTCAGATTAGAAAGACTGACAGACACAAAAAAATGTCCTAAGCTAGTGAGATGGCTCGGCAGGTACAAGTGGTTGCCACACAAGCCTGATGACCACGTTCAATCTCTGAACCCACACTGAAGATGAGCAACTCTAAGGTGGTCCTCATGACCGCCACATAAACGTGCATGCACACCAACTCTATAATAAATAAAAATCTTAAGAAGCACCGAGGGAAGGCTGCTAAATGCAGACCAGTGCATAGTTTTAGGAAATACGCTCTCCAACCACCAACAGTGCAGGTCCATTAACGTTCTCTGTCAGCATCCGCTCTGGTCTAATGAGAGCACCCGCACTAACTAGCCCACTACCCCTGTACGCAAAAAACCACCATGCAAAAGGGACACAGGATATGTAGAAAAATGATTATCACCATTACTACAAAAAAACAACAGTATTTTAGATGATTACATTCTTAGTCTCCTGAATCTTACAATCTCATTTGAGAGAGACAAATGCACAGCAGACACCGGGGAACAACTGCAGGAAACACAAGAGAGCCCACAGTGCAGTGCACAGATCAAACACGTGTATTAAAGTGAGAATGTAGCTGGAATTTCACTGCTATATATAATTTTCTACCCCCCTTTTCTCAGGCCATAACCTATCTGGATACAACCTTTATGAGAAAATAATCTCTACTCTCTCCTTATTAGCAAAATTGGCAATAATAAACATGGGCCCAGGTACTACCTCAACTGGACATTACGGCTGAACTGAGTGGTAGAGTCATAACAGGACTACACAACCACCTTCCAAATGAACTAGTCAAGGTGAGAGACTGTATGACACACACGGAAGAGAGCACCTGCCTGTGTGGCACAGGTGATAAGTTTAACAAAAGAAGTTCTGTGCCCTCTGAAAGAAAACACTGTGATTTCAGGACACAGAACAATGACAAAACAGTTTTCTCAAAATTCTACATCCACAACTTCAAAACTGGTAGCTAAGATGATCCAGCCTCACAGACTATCCAGCCAAGACTTCAGATAAACTTTACACTTTCCAATCACACAGAGACTAAACAAAAAATACAGCTACTTCTCCCAGGACTTGATAGTTATCCCAAGTTATCCCATTTTTCTCAGAGTCCCCCAAAGATTCTGTTGCCCATAAACAACATGGTGCCCACATTCCTAAGAGGTGTGTTTGGGGGGGTGACTTTTGGTCACTCAGTGGGTTATGGATATTTGCCATCACGGGGGGTGGCGGTTACAAGTTGTTATTGGAAGGAAAAAGGCTGAACAAAGGAAATTAGATTCAAGAATCTCTTCCTAAAAGAAAAGGGGAAAATATAGTATAGAAATGATGAGAGAGAAGGGTGGATGGTTGAGTCTACTTTTGAAAAACCACTAGTCTCAAATACTTTACATTACATTGGTATGGACTTTTGTACACTGACACAAATGTAAGGTTACTCAGTTACAATATGTATGTTTCGGCTCTTGTTTAAGGCATTGGACCTATGCAGCTCACTGAATACATTTCATACCTCACAGAAGTCTCTTAGACATACGCAGAGACCCTGCGTTTTTGTGCAAACTGCATGTTATTTAAATCACCACAATTAGAGATAATGCACTTTAGATGTTGTTTTTTTCAGTGATTATAACATTTCTATTCACAAAAGTAATTAAACAATTAAAGTTCCTAGTACTTTTGAACATACAGTATTGCATAAAACATTCTCCTCTATGAAGAGAGACTAAACAAAACTTTCATCTTTCTTCACAGCCAGGCTCACTCCCGCACACCATCCAAACAAGGAAATCACATTTTGTCAATCTTGCTCAGTTGCACATGTGAAATTTTAAACTTCCTCTTCATGGAATCATTCTCTTATCCAAAGACAACTGTTGCTTTGGTTTGTATATTGTTCAAAATTTATACAGGAAATGATCCAGCATAGGTTGAATCTTGAAAAGTCTTCCTGAGTGACTGTCCATTTGGGCGTTATCATTGACATGTCAGAATACATGTTCAAATCTGTGGTAGCTGCGGAAATATGGGGGTACATATCAAAGGATCTGCTGACCAATAGTCTCTATCAGCTTAACTAGGTTAGGGAATTCTTGATGTCCTTCGTGTAATCAGAGACCACTTTAGTGTTGTAGGTGGTGTTTTTCATTTCACTGAGGTTTGATCATGAGAGGTGGACAGCTTTTGGCACAACATCTTAATTCATCACTGAAAAAGAGACTGATCACAGAGAGTAGAGTCACACAG